CAGTGGAGGCCTGGCACAGGAGCACTTAGCGGCCAAAACGTCTCTTGGACACTGCTCTCCCTTCCCCTTTCATTCCCGGCTATTCTCTTATCCCTGAAGAAATCTAATCTGGACATAAAAGGTATCTACAGTAGTGAACACATAGTTCTTAAAAGTGGCACCTGCCTGGAATGTTAGCGCTTGGGCGGCTGAGGCAGGCGGATACTGAGTTGGAGGCCAGTCTGGGCTACATAGAAAGACTCTAGCCAAGAAACAAATAAAAAAGACCTCTCGCTTGGAAAATTTTTATGCTTTTTCTACTTGAATTTAAAAAGGGATTACTAATACCAATAAAAATATAATTATGAAATATAATTATGCATCATGCCTCAGCTACATCTTGATTTTACAAGCAGATCTAAAAACATGGTGTATAGCACAGCATTTCATAAACTGCCCCATCAAAGCTGGTAGCTGTGTTCCAGGGATCAAAATTACCAAAGCCAGAGTGACAGTAAGTGTCTCGGATGGCACCGCTGGATTTGATGGCATCTTGAGCAAGTGTGCATGACCTCCCTCCAGAATGCTCACCCTAGAGCAGAGGTGGTACGGAAGAGGCAGCGCATTTGACTCCAACACCAGTTTCTTCATGGCCATCAAAACCTGCCCCACAATGTCCCGCTCTTTATTCCTTACTGGTCAAAAATCCTTTCTCCAGTCAAGTCTGTGCTGATGACAGCCATGACACTAAGAAAGGTGTACAGAGCTTTTTCCTTTCAAGGTGGGCAGTGTGGAGGAAAAATAAAATAATGACGACTAAAGAATGCAGTTCTGCTCATTTTATCAAATTTACAGAGCACCTCAGCCTCAAAACCGGAAAATGGGGCTCATTGCTTCAGTACTGATGACATGTCTCTCAGTAGTTCGTGGGAACTTACTCTAACACATAATTCACTCTCACTTAATCTAAGTTTGAGAACTTAGAAAGATGTTCTGTTTACTTCATAATTAAAGTACTTGAAGTCAGGCATGGTGGTACTGACCTGTAATTCCAATGACTCAGAAAGCCAAGTTTAGCTCAGGAAGAGCTTAACTTTGAAGACACCCTGGACTCTGTCTTAAACTGAAGTTAAAAAAAAATAAAGTACTGAGAATGTAGCTCTGTGGATAGCACTTATCTAATATGCATGTGGCCCTGGGTTCAAGCTCCAGTACCATTTAAAGAATAATAACTGAAGCACACTGCCATGAGTTTCTAAAGCCTTGGACTTTGCAAAGCACTTTCAGATGTGTTACCATGTTAGAAGGCACTGATGCCAGAAATGCCAATCTACATTTGGTTTTGGAAAAAGATTTTCATGTATATATTTTGTCCAAATATTACTATTTGTTTCAGGAAAGTCAGAGCTAAGACTTTAACAGAGTGTAAATTTTAAGCCAATGAATAAACAGTTGGCTTGAAAAAATATTAAATTGACATGCAAAGCATCTGTAACCCTGCCAGATACTAATAAAAGCAACTTCTGCCAGCACAGAAAAACTTGAATTGCCTCAGTTGGTTCTGAATTTGATGACTAGGCTTTACTAGTTGGTTTTCCAAAGTGAAACCTGACAGCACACCGACTTGCTTCCTCACACTTTTATCTCTTTAAAAAATAATGCACAATCAGCATCTTATTTAAACATTGGCCTTATACAATATTTATAGTAAGAGACATTATTTCTAAAAAAGTAATATTAATCCTTACCTAACAAATGAGGACTTAGGCATTTTTCAAGTTATATACTTTAGAAATGAGATTCATACTTCATCAGTTAAGAAACTTCAGTTATTTAAATATTTAAAAGATAACATTTTAGACAAAAGGCATAAAGGCAGTAAATGGATTTTAAATGTGAGGTTTTAAGTGTAAACCTAATGTTTAGGTAACATTTTGTTTCTGGTTTTGGCCCACCCTTCCCTTATCTGTCTGCCCCTCAAAATTAGTGTTTAAAATATGGAGTTCAAGATTTATGATCAGTTGCAGAAACCTGTTTAGCTACTGATTTACAATCTTGGCTGACTCTGTCATCAGAACTAATTATAGCAAGCCTAAGATTATATATTCAAACTCTCCTTCTGCTGAAAGAAATAGACTGCTCTACTGAAAATCAGGAACATCCTGAGGCTCCTTAACAAGAATGCACTACCTACTTTACTTCTCAGAACCAATGCTCTAAATCTCAAAATTACTGTTCTCTAGTAAGCTGTTTTAGCCTAAAGTACTTAAACAATAAATCAGTTACATTAATGCCATGCCAATGGCCTAAAACATATTAATCTTAGTTAACAATAACTGACATTTACATCACTAATCTAATTCAAGCATTCTGGCGGTAAATGCATACGTTGAAGCTCCAGGAACTGAAGTTATTACTGATCCAAAAAGAATCCTTATTTCGATGTGACCAGAATGGAGAAGTTAAATGACTATATTCTGTGGGCAAAGCTCCCATTTTAGGGCTGGGGAATTAGCTCAGTGGTTTTGCTGCCTGCTGCGCAAGCCCAAGGACCTGAGTTCGATCCCCAGTACAAAAAAAAAGCTCCCATTTTATTGCTTCAATGAGTTAAATGTCTAATTTGTACTAAAGCTGATCAAGTAAGCACCCAAATAAGGTGCTGACAGGGTCAGCCCAAGAGATGCACTTCCTTCCTCACCTCCAAATCCTTCTCTCCCACCCTTTGGCTGTACCAGTATGTTTCGAAGCTTTGCACACAACCTATACTCCTAAAAAAGGTAGGAACTTAGGAGATATGGCTACTCATCTGTCCCACCACACTGCCTTCTACTCAGCTAAGATGCTCCCAAGGACACAAGGACCCTGAGTGGGGCACTGAGGGCAAACTGCTGGCCCCGACTGAGGTGAAGGGTTCTGTGGTGGACTTGGGTCAGAGGCTCCCTATCTAACACACTACAAGAGGCCATGCTAGCAAGGCCTTGGCAGGCGAAGTGAAATATGCCTGCAGGGGCCATTAATGTCTTAAAGACATGCATCTAGGAAAAAAGGAAAATGAGGCAGAGGCCCAAGGGACAGAAATGCTCATACTTATGAGAGTATCCACATCATCTACCTGCTCAAATACAACAATTTTCATACTTCAAACAAAGCCAGTGTATTGCAGAATGGACACTTCCCCACAATGGATTTGTAAAGGAGAGGTTCTTATACTGTAAGTTTGTAGTAACTCAGCAGGAATCTGAAGTGGGATGTAGTAGTAGACTGTGTATGATAATACTGACAAAATGGGACAGAGGATTTTAAATCATAAAATATACAATTTTCCAATATTTGGTCTGGGTAGTTTTGCATGATAAATTAGGAGCTACACAATCTCCTGTACTTGCTTTCTTTACACGGGCTTTTCTCAACTAAACGGAAGCAAGATATGACTTCTGGACTCTTAAATAGCAACTAATTATTCACTTAATCTAGAACACAGAAAAAATTTAAATGTTACCATAAATAAAATTGTGTTAACATTTTAAATCT